AAATACTTCTCTTTATTGAAAGAGTTTACATCAAACAGACCACATATATCGGTATGTATGATTTCAAGAAGCTAAGTGCTTCTTGTGACTCATTTCTTTGTGTGTTTTGTTTGTTTGCCTTTAATATAATTCACACACATATTTAGATCAATAAAATTTAAATCCAGAATGATTTCATTCTTTATTAATTTTTTCATTCTTTCTTTAAAAATGTGTCCTAAACGCTTATGCCACAAGTAAGCAAATCGTTCATTTACCAAATTACATTTAGTGGCAACATTATGATGCAAGGTCATAAGAGTTTCAACATATAAATTATCCAAATTCAATTATATAAACCATCATAAAGTGTATAAAAAACAATCATACAAGTACACTTAAATAAACAAACAACCATTATCAAACTTAAAAGAGTATCAAACAATATCAAGCTTAGATAAAGAAACTAAATTCTTAGTGATACTAAGTACATAAAAAGTATCCATCAAACCTAAGTGAAATCCAGTGTCAAGAATCAAACAATAAATCCTGACAGCTTCCATTTGAACCTTCACTCTATTCCCCATGAAGATGAAATTTTAATTTGGGTTTATGGCTCGGGTTGAAAGGAATCCTGCATTACATTATAAACATGAGTCATACATTTAGAACTCATCGAGTATTATGGGGAACTTTAGTTAAGTTTGATGCAAAACATACGTATGTATTATGCTCATCTTTCTTTTCGAACCAATATTTATATTTTAGGTTGTCTTTCTGGAAATGCCCAAACTTCCCGCATAAATGCCATTTATCATTTTTCTTCTGGATTTTAGTAGAGGACTCATCAATCTTTTATGATTTATTACTCTTTTCATATTTCTTAATAGTTTTCTCTCCAACTCCTTGATTTCTTACATAATGAATAGAATGACTTTTTAAGTTCTTGAGTATAGTCTCCTCCTGAACTAACATATTGTGCAATTTATACACATTTCATTTGTCTTTAATGATATTATAGTTCATATAGAACAAATCATACTTAGATTGTAACAAGTTCAAAATGAACTACACAATAAAATTTTCATCCACTGTCATTCCAAGAGACTTGAGTCTTGTTGTGATGTTTGTCATCTCGATTACGTGTTCGTACATAGTACAATAACTATCAAACTTCATGGTGATTAAGGTATTCATTAATGTCTCAGCAAGGGACTTGTCAATAATATGAGAATGTTTTTCCATAAATTTCATGAATTCTTTCGCATTTAATGTTACTTATTATTATCATTTGTATAAATATCATACTAAGTCTGTTTGACCCTTTTCAAACTCTATAATAAGTTTTCTTTTCGTTACTACTAACATTAGTGACATCAACTGACTTTTCAACTTGAAAAGTTATATAAAGATCCAACACACTTATGTAAAATTATATTTATTCACTCTAGTAAAAAAAATTTAATTTATTAAAAACTGGAATAGACATAGCAAGCGAATATAAAGATGCAAAAACAGATATTACACTTAACACATTCTTAACATTAATGTTTTGAGTCATAAATTTAAATATAATGTACAAATTCAAACTAAAATAAATATTTTATACGTATTAATGTTTTCCTTTTAAATATATACTAATACACAAATATAATAATGTTAAACATATTATAACATTAATAACAATTAAACTATTCATCAACTAGAATATATATAAATAAAATTAATAATCCCACAAAATTATCTACTATTATGGTTATTAATAAATAAAGTTACAATTATTTTTTCACATGTCACTCTCCACATATTTATTACATTTATTAAGTCTAATAAAAATAATTATTTCTATTAATTTCTTTATATACATAGTAATATATAATTATTTTATTTGAATACTTAATTATATATAAAATTATATTAATAAAGTAATAATTAATATTAATTTATCATCTAAAATATAATAATTTCATTTTATATATTACATTTATTTTATATTGTCATTATTTTATAAACATGAAGTGTCTTTTCAAATGAATTTTTTAGGTCGAATGTAGTTTTTTAAAATTTTAAAACTTGGAGTTTTTAGGTAGAATGTAGTGTTTTTATTATTTTTTGATAAAAATATTATTATCTATTTTTTAATAATAGAATTAATCTTGGAAAACTTGGAGAACGAAAGTGAAGGGCGAGATGATGACTGGGTAACTATCATTCTAATTGGTCAGAAAACACTTCTAATGGCTGTACATGGTGGTCGTAGTTAAGAAGAGAGAGAAATTTTGTATAATTTTAATATAATTTAAGATACAAAATTTTGTAATTTTTTTTTTACCATATCTGCATCTTCGATCCACCTATATTTTATGACTTATGTATCAGTTAGAAATAATATAAATTTTTATATTTGTTTTTGTCTTTTATTTTCTATTTTTCATATCATTTCTAAAAAGACTAAAAATTTCAAGCATAGAATACTCATACATTTAACCACTCAAACTATTATCACCTAAGTTGTGAAAAAATAATTTGTTTAACTTAAAAATAATGAATATATATATATATACATATATATATATATTATTTTATATAAAATAATATATATAAAGTATAAACATGCATATAATTAATTAACTAATTAATTAAAATACTAAAAATGTTGATAATTATATAAATTTTAATGAAATGTAATATAAAATTATACAATGATATTTTATTCATAAAATAAAAATTAATATTTATCATCAAATTGATAAATATAAATTTCATATATCTAATTGGATTAAATGTTTTAATAATTTTTTATTTAAAATAAAATTTATTATTTTTATTTACTTAAATATGTTTGGTTCAATATTATAAGGAAGTATGAATTTTTTTATTAATAGTTTTCGTGGACGAATATTCCTTAACTTATGATAGAAATATTAATTATAAAATTTTATAAATTTTAAATATCAACCTTTTAAAATCAATTTATATATTTGAGAAAGAGAAACATATATTTTTTTATATAATGTAACAAAATTACCATTAATAAATACAAAATAATTGAATATTCCTTAACTTATGATAGAAATATTAATTATAAAATTTTATAAATTTTAAATATCAACCTTTTAAAATCAATTTATATATTTGAGAAAGAGAAACATATATTTTTTTATATAATGTAACAAAATTACCATTAATAAATACAAAATAATTGAAGGTTAATAATTTATCTTTGAATGGTCTTACTCAATTAATATTGGTATATAATTTTTTTAAAAGAATAATTACTTTTAGGTGTTGAATTTAAATATATTAAAATATAAATAATTATAATTATATATGATTTTTTAAGATTAAACCTAAATTTACAAATAATACTTATTTTACATTAATCTTCCTTAGAGCTTTAAGCTTTGTATATTAATTCATCAACTTAAAACATTCATTCATTGATGAGTTAGATTATTGACAAGTTGATATATTTAAATTTTTATAATAATATATATATATATATATATATATATATATAAAAGTTACTTTTATATAAAAAAAATCTTTTAATTTTATTATGCTTAACACTCCGAAATAATTAATTAAGTAAATATATGTGATTGACTTGCAACCTAATCAAAGTTTTATATACACTTTTCAAATAATTTTTTATGTAAAAATATATTTATAACTAAAATTACTTTAATGGTGAGCTTATATTTGTTGGCAAATGCAACAACACTTAAAAATGTTTATTTTGAAAAAAAAATTCTGGTTAATAAATAATTTAATATATTATTTTACGACAAATCTTATTCTATACGAATTTTTAAATTATATAATCTATTTTGTATTTAATAGCGAAAATCTATCAATATTTTATTAGATTAATTTCTATTATGTCATTTATTTTGTATTTAATAGTATCTCATTTCATTTAAAAAATTTTAAAGATTGGACTCTACACAAATAGGTAAACTATTTTTTAATTAAATATTTAATTATGAACAGTAATTAACTCTATTTAATAATAATATAACAATAATAAACATAAAAACATTTAAAATTTTATCATTAATTTATTATTAAAATGAGTTATTATCTAATTGAGAGAATATATCATTTTTTATTATATATTTTGATTAAAATTGTCAGAGTGAATTATATAAAATAAAATGAATACAGCACATGTTTTATTCACCTGGACCGGACCGGGTTCGGGGGATCAGCCCAATTTTCTTTTTGTCAAACCTAATTCGTTGTTTGTTAAGGGTGGATCCATACTTAAATTTAATGAATTTCTTTATTCCTAAATTTACGCTGCTATATCTAGTTATTTGCTATTTTTTCTCAGTTTAATCGTCTTAAATGTTACATTGTAACGGAAAAGCTGAAACGACACTTTTCATTTCAAGTACATTTTGGTACTCAGATTTGTGTGAACAAGATTAAACTGTTATCTGACGTAAATATTTTTTTAATAGGTGTGTTTGGATGTAGCAGAGTAGAATATTATTTATGATAATATTTTAGCTTATATCTCATGTTCCTAAGTTAGATATGAAACTGATAGGTTATTATTCAGTTGGTGCATTGTATGTTAGGTTATAAAAGTGTATTTCACTTTACAGGAAGGAATGAAAAAATTGACATTCATCTTTTAGCTTCTTCGTAACTTCTACGATGGCAGTTTCACATATTTTAGAGCAGTGTGACTTTTAGCTTCCTAACAAAACCCATGTAAATTTTGGCCACAGGTGTTCAGTGATATCATATTATCCTTCTTTGTTGTGGGTAAATAACAAAGAATATTCTGAACACTATTTGAAGTTGTATGCTTTAGAACAACTGCTACTTTACAGATAACTTGTGTGTTGGCAGTAATTATTTTTTCATGATATGTTTAATGGAACTGTGAGACTGAGAAACTGTTATTCGTTCAATTGGGAGGACAAAATATTCAACCTGTTAGTTGTTGCGTTGTGCTAGTTGCAAGTTTTGATTCACTAGTTGCTCTACTGGTATAAGATGTGACAGCGATGAATTCAGCAACGGTCAAGGATTTGAAGCTTGCCATCAAGAGGAAGAAGGTAAATGACATGGAACAATGTGGCATGGGTCACCGCCATATTTCTTGGTGAGTTACAGGCTTATTTTTCTCTCTATTCCATCATCATTTCTCCTTTCTCCAAATGAGAAAAAAGTCAGTGAACTTCTTTACTGTATTCCACAAAATTATTGCTCATAGCAATATCACTTTAGTCATTGCTGGTAATTTTGTTAACAATAGCGTAATAGTTGATTTGATGGCAATTGCAGGAAGCATGTATGGGCAAATTATTGTTTGTCATGCCATAACAACAAGCTTCTAAATGATAATGATGCACTCCAAAATTTTGATGTACGGAATAATTCTCAGGTATGTCTTTTGCATTCTGTGTTCAAATGGACTTTGTGTCTATTCTCTGCAAACGTACTTTCTCTATATTATTCTCTTTTTCCAATATTAGTCTTTAAAGTATTACTTATGCTTAAAATAATGGTTGTTCATATGACATTGATTTTTTTTGTTGATTCTCATGATATTTATGTTCAAAAAGTTTGAAGAAAAGCTTTGATAACCTTTTTTTGTGTGTGAAAAATGATAGTTTCCTTTTGTTATTACCTGGATTAAGAAGGAAGGGCGTCCCAGATTTCTTAAACTTTGCAAGCAAACAAAAGACAGAAAGAGAATATTTACAAACTCTTTAATGCTTAAGTTAATATGTATAATTCACCAAATTACTCATATAATATAGCAAAATAAGATGTAGGGATTTAATATACTTACAAGTTCTATGTCATTTAAAAATTGAGATCAATGATAATTTATATATATTTTTATTTTTTAATCTAGTGAGACAATTTTTAAGAATAAAATCGTTGTAAATTAGAATTTTAAAACGAATAATACCTTAAATGTAATAATTGACCCAAATGATATTATAATAACGTACATGAGATTTGAACACTCTTATTATTAAACGAAATATTAACGTTCATGGTAGGATCAAGGATAGAGTCTTGCTCCACTTGTATCCCCTATTCTTATTCTAACATGTAAATAAATTTCACCTCACGTATCTCACCCTAAAAACAGGAGTACGACGCAAATATATGAGATATTCAAACAAGTATATCAGTCCACCAGAGATACTCGGAATATTTGAGATATATGGACAAATATCTCCAATTATCCAAGATATCCGAAGAATAGGATTATCTAGCAAGGTAGTCAGCAACATGTTTAACTTGCCTTCTTCGTGCTGCTCTTGTTATATTCTTCCATTTATCTTCTCTCAAGCTTCCCTGAAGAACTAACCTTCTGGTAAGCCAGCAACCTGGACATTAGTAAAATGATTATCGTTTATTACCAAATAATACTGACTACGGATTATAAAAAAGCAACTAGCAAAACACAACAACACAACAACTAACAGGTTGAATATTTTGTCCTCCAAATTGAACCAAAATAACAGTTTCTCAGTCTCACAGTTCCATTAAACATATCATGAAAAAGTAATTACTGACAAGTTATCTGTAAAGTAGCAGTTGTTCTAAAGCACATAACTTCAAATAGTGTTTAGGATATTCTTTGTTATTTGCCTACAACAGAGAAGGATAATATGATATCACTGAACACCTGTAGCCAAAATTCACATGAGTTTTGTTAGAAGCTAAAAGTCACACTGCTCTAAAATATCTAAAACTGTCATTATAGAAGTTATGAAGAAACTAAAAGATAAATGTCGAATTTTTTCTTTCATTCTTATAAAGTGAAATACACTTTTATAACCTGACATACAATACACCAACTGAATACTAACCTATCAGTTTCATATCTAACTTAGGAACACGAGATATAAGCTAAATATTATCATAAATAATACTCTAATAATACCCTTTAAAACCGTTTAGCTACAACTTATCAGGTTTTTGTGCAAAAAATATTACATGATTCTCTGTTACATTCAAATCACCTAATAAAAATATATTCACACCAAATAACTGATTAATCTAGTTCACACACAAATCCAAGTACCAGAATGCATTTGAAAAATGTTGTTTCAACTTTTCGATTACAATATAACATTCAAGACGAACTCATAAAAAATAACAAAAGAACAAGACGTAACAGTGTGAATTTGGGAATAAAAAAATTTATTAAATTTAATTATAGATTCACCCCTAACTAACTAGGAATTAGGTTGGGCAGAAAGAAAATCGGACTGATCCCACTAACCGGTCCAGTCCAGATGAATGAAACATGTGCTTTATTTATTTTATTTTATTTTATATAATTCACTCCGACAATTTTGATCAAAGAATTAAAACATATTAATAATAATAAATTAGTTTAAATTTTATTTGAATATTAATTTTCTATTCTCAATATTACTTGTGAACCCAAATCAAAGTACAAATAGTTAAATAATTAATAAAAAAATATGAATTGATCCGTGAACCTTACCTGCAAATTGCGTTATGTATTATTCATTGTGCACAATAAAGCAACAATACCATACCGTTCTCAAACATGAACTCACCCATCGCAGCGACGATTAATTTCTCTTCTGATTACGCTGTTTTCGCTTCGATCACTTGCTGCTGCGGCTGCCGGTACAGAATCGAATCACTGAAGCGTTGTAGTATTAGTATTGTTAGGGTCGCAGGTTCAAATATCCACATTAGATGGGCTTGGTTTTATATTTTTATTGGTCCAATTCATGTCTATGTTTAAGTCAGTATTGTGGCAACCGGAATTACAATGAGATAACGAACCAAAATAAATAAACTTAAATATGTGAAACTGGTGTTTATTAAGGGAAACTAAAAAATCTAAAAGAGAACGGTCTTTAAAATCATATTTGGGTTTGGAGCATGTTATATATAGAGAAGGTATTAACACTCTGTCCTAAAATAATTACTCTTAATTGAAAATGCTGTTATTTTGAAAATATTTATTTTACCTTAGACACTATATAAAAAAAGAAGATAAAAATATTATTTTTAGTTGTTGAACCCGAGAAGGATAAATCCTTTCTCTTCTTATTTTCATTCAAAATAAGAAATCAATTATATTATCTTTTGAAACAAAGTTTGTTTAAAAATGTTGATATTTTTAATTTTGAAAGTTTTGTATTTTATATTTTTTTATTATTTTGAATTATTTAAAAATAGGTGTCATGGGACACTAGCAGCGAGACACCAAAAATAATCAATTTTTATTTTTAGACGTTTTTTCTTAGAAGAAAAAAAGAATGAAAAAAAAATTGACAAAAAATAAATAAATAAATAAACGCTAGAATTTAACGACAACCATAGTCACCAATGCTCAAAGAACAATCATCCAGTTATCCTAAATCGCCTGACAACTCTAATTCGGAAATCACAGGACCGAAAGCCACGAGCTTAAAAGATAAAATAAAAAAGAAACCAAAAGCCATGAATCTCACACTTTCGCACCTAAACAAAAGTATAACGTTCAAAATAAACGGCGAAATATTTATAACCAAGGGCAAAATGTTGACCGAAATAATAAAACAGACACACACTTCAGCTGTCTATAACATACCAAACTCAGCACCATATCATCCAAAATTTAAACAAAAATCCGGTAGCGTAACGGCAGAAACACAACATACAATCCAGGACCCACGGTCCTTGAACAATCCAGAAATAATTCCAGATAGAGAATCAGAATAAAAAACCAAGTCCAAACCAGACACCTATCAAACAGAATATCAGATTTAGACACTGGATCATAAAGTTGCCAACCAAAAATCAGATAGTAAAACAAAAATAAAATAATTAAAAGAAAAAGGGTCTCGCGGCTGGGTTCAAGCGAGAGGGCCAGCTGAAGCTCGCGGCGTATGGCGGCCTGGTTCTGGCGATGGACCGCGCGCCAACCAAGGTCGTGATGACTCCAGGCCGGTCGACCAGCGATGGAGGCGTCCAGCTGGTCCACGGTGGGCAAGGTTACACGGTGGTTTGAGCTGGTGGGCGAGGGAGAAAGGAGTGAAGGAAGGAGGTGGCTACGCGAGGGGTTCACCGCGGCAACCCGTGGTGGCACTACCGCGGTGGCCTCTGGCGGTGATTCACGGTGGCTGCGGTGGAAGGGGAGTGAGGGCGCATAGAGAGTGACGAATGGAGAGCGAAGGTGAGGCTAGAGGGAGTATTGGGGGGAGGTGCGGCTAGGGAATGGTGGCGCGCGCGACGAGATTAGGGCTGAAGACGAGGGTTGTGGTGATGGGCGGTGCGCGGTGGCAATGAGTTGAGGGAAGGAAGCCGCGAGGCGCGGCCTAGGGTACCTGTTCATATTGGCAGTAATTCTGGTTTTCAACTTTCTACATCTTCAACCTTGACCTTAATTGTGCTCGGTCTTATTGATAAATTCCGTGTACCACTCTGGATTTTCATTTGAATACTTGTCGTAACAGAGAGACACGGCACGAATGGTGGGTACATATTCACGCATAAGGTACGTGCTTGAGAACCTGTGTTCCATGTTGGAACTGAAACAAGTCCAAGCCATTATCACCAAAGCAGGTTTTCAAACCCACATTCCTTTCACTGCCAAGTTAATATTCTTTTCTGCACTTTCTCCTATGGGAAACCTCTCCCATGCTCATTCCCTCTTCCTACAAACTTCTATGAACAACTCCTTCCTTTGCAATACTGTGATTCGAGCCTTTGCCAACTCTTCCTTCCCTCTTCAAGCTCTATACATCTACAGTCACATGCAAACCTCAAATGTTGTATTTGACCATTTCACCTACAACTTTGTGCTCAAGGCTTGCTCTAGAGCACACAAGTTTGCCCAAGAATATGGAAAATGTGATGAGTTTACTATTGTTTCCAAAGGGGGTGAAGTTCACTGTACTGTTCTCAAACTGGGGTTTGATCAAGACCCCTCTATTCAAAACTCTTTGCTCTATATGTACTCTCAATTTGGATTGGTCCATGTTGCCCAACACTTATTTGATGAAATCAGTGACAGAAGTTTGGTTTCTTGGAATATCATGATATCGGCATATGATCGTGTCAACAATTCTAAGTTGGCCGATCACCTTCTTGAATCGATGCCACACAAGAATGTTGTTTCATGGAACACTGTCATTGGAAGGTACATAAGGTTGGGTGATATTGAGGGTGCAAGAAGGGTGTTCGAAGTTATGCCTGACAGGGATGTTGTGTCCTGGAATTCTATGATTGCTGGTTTTGTGTCTGTTAAGGATTATGCAAGAGCATTGAAACTGTTTTCTGAGATGCAATATGCTGAAATAAGACCGACAGAAGTGACGCTTATTTCGGTTCTGGGTGCCTGTGCAGAAACTGGTACATTGGAAATGGGTAGCAAAATACACGAGTCTCTCAAAGTGTGTGGGCATAATATTGAAGGGTATTTGGGAAACGCCCTTCTGAATATGTATTCTAAATGTGGGGATTTGAGTTCCGCTTGGGAGGTATTTAGTGGGATGAGGATAAAGACTTCGAGTTGTTGGAATGCTATGATTGTTGGTTTGGCTGTCCATGGTTACTGCGACGAAGCTCTGAAGTTGTTTTCAGAGATGGAATGCAAGACTGGTACTGTTAGGCCGAATCGAGTCACATTTGTTGGCGTTTTGATTGCCTGTAGTCATAAGGGTTTGTTAGATAAAGCAAGATGGTATTTTGATCGTATGGTGAAGCAGTATAACATTCTGCCTGAACTCAAGCATTATGGTTGCTTGGTTGATCTTTTGAGCAGATTTGGTTTGTTGGAAGAGGCACATCAGATGATCATGACTTCACCTTTCCAAAGTAGAGCCATTTTGTGGAGAACATTGCTGGGTGCTTGTCGGACACAAGGGAACATGGAGCTGGCTAATGTGTCATTCCAACAACTTGACAAATTGAAAAGTCTAACTGATGGAGATTATGTGCTGTTTTCTAACATTTGTGCCGAAGCTGAGAGATGGGATGAGGTTGAGCGAGTAAGGAGTGAAATGATTGACTTGCATGTTCCTAAGCAAGTTGGGTACAGCCAAATCGATATGACTGAATGTGATAAGCTTTCCTAAACAAACTATCTACCTCTTTTTTACACTGGATATTTCTAAGCTTTCTCTTTGCATTTGCAGAAACTCAGTCTGGCTTATGTTAAAAGCTTTTTTTCAATTTTTAAACTGCATACTAAGTATGTCAGCCAATTTGGCATGAAGAATCTATTGACATGAAGACAATGGACGAAGCTGGGAAAACTTAAATTTAGTAACATTTAATTACTACTTTTCAAGCTCGTTGAGACAATTGAGACCGTATGGTATGACTTCCTTTATTTATTTTATGGGTTTACTCTTTCTAGATAAATTTAAGCGAGTGTAATTTGCTTTTACACAAAAAACTGAAAGGGCTAGCAGGTGTTACTCCTCTAGTTATGTAAAAAATTCATTTTAGTTTCTAGAGTGTTAGTATCTTTTTTCTGCTTTATTCTCTTTCTGACTATATACAATTTACTCCCACCTTGCTTCTAAGGACCAGGGGGCGTCCAATCGGATAGTAAGAGGGTTAACTTGAAAAACAAAATATTAGATTAATACTAATCAGTTTAGCAGACACTTTAAGGTACTAAGAATTCTTTCTAGTGATTTCCTTTATGTTACTAGGAAGTTGGCTGTAAATGATGAGCAATTATAACCTATTTCGTTTCATTAAAAAATTATTGCCGTGTGCTTAGTCATTATGGATGGAATCTAAACATAAATTAGAGAAGGATCATCAAGACATGCAACTAGTCTCAATCTTTACCCAATGACCCGGAAAGCTCTTTTGGAAACATATAAAGATGCTTCAGGAAAGTGCAAATGGTAGTGGTGTTCTCTGTGTCATTTTCTTTTGTTATAGTGTTATTTGTGCTTTATATTTAGGTTCTTGAGTGATAATTGTGACAGAATGGCACGAATAAGAAGAGGGTTCAGTAACAGGATGAGTATTGTGTGCAACTCCAAGACCAGTGACCACTGTGATTTGGCCAGCGCGGTGCTCACTAATGTTAAGTTCTCCTAACACAAGACTTTACTTCTGAAATCGCATATCAAAAATTTGAGGATGGAAAAAGTGTTCACAAGTAAAAGAAATGACGGAGAACAAGGTTACAAGTAATGAAAGAGAAGCCCTGGGGTATTCCTGTAAGAAATAAGACAAATCACTAATAACAGTGACAGATAAAAGCTTCTACTATTTTCAAACCACTGATCTGCGACAAAAATTAAATAAAATTATTGGTCAGCATCGGTTATGTATTCAAAGTAATGATTTTTCTTCCAACAGAAAGAATAAATTTTATTACACAAAGAGAAGTATAGAAGTACGAGTGATTGTAGGATAAGAAACTCTCAAGTCTCAACAAAAAATAATACAAAAATAGGGGAGAAAAATAATGGAATACTGTAGGAGAGTTGTCCGATCCTTTGCATGACCAGAAATTCTGGTACCATTGACAAGAGTTACAAGACCATGTACAACTAACAAATCCATTTCATCTAAAAACAATATGATATCGTTCCCCATGAATAAACGAACCGCAACTTCATCGATTATATGTCTGTGGCAAGGAAATTACCATACAGTGCTACCTGTATAAGAAATAAAGCTTGATTTATGCAACAAGTGCAAGGCATAACAAAGAAATGACAAACATATCACAGAAAGAAAAGGATAAAGTACCTCTAGCAAAGTTTGAACCGAGGAAGACCCTTGCAAGGGCTGTATGCTCTCAATGTATTTCAATCGAATCTTAGATATTCTTGTTCGTCATTGCTGATTAAAATTAATTATTAATGTAACTTTCCAAAGTGACTATATTTTAAACTGCAAGATATATGAAGCTACAATATAGTTTGAGCACAATAAATGCATGCCTTTCCCTACTAGCAGGTGGGTTTGGTTTCATGTATTAAATAATTCATTTTTGAAAGAATTGCAAACTCATTTATTTTTTACAAGGACTATATGTATGCCCCCAATTGTACAGCTTGCTAACATACTACGCATGGAAAACCAAGTTGGATAGTAGTCCCATGTCAAGTGAAAACTGTTCTTAATTGTTATCATAAGAAAAACAAATCTTGATAATACACTTATATATAAATGGTCAAGGTCTAATGAAAACAATTATTACCCAATATGGTCTCCTAAAATGAATTGAAGCAAAAATAAAATTCTTATTTTACAGAACAGCACAGCCACAGTGCACTTATAACATAAACAAACTGTGTTTTTAAAAGCAAAAGATAAAAGAACATACATTGACAAGCTGATTGAGGATTATTCATCTTTCTGCAGTCATCGATGTGGGTCATGAGCTCTTATGACAGATACAAGGCTTCTAAATAATCATCAATGTAGGCTAAGCTAGGCCAATGATCTGTTCGTATACGAACTAAAGTTGAAACATCTCCAACTTCCATTTGGAAAAGGAGATGGAACCGTGGTGGAAGAAATATTAGAACAAGAAAACAACCTAGGTTTCTTTTCCTACTATTGCTAATAGTCCCATTCTCACACTCTTCATCATTGTAAGTAAGACGGAGTGGACCTGTATCATGATTAGTAACAGAAGTAGCAACGGGAGAAGCATCTTCCAAAATGACGTTTTGAATGATTCCCCCTTGCCATACGGCATCAATAAGTGGCTCCCCACTGACACCTACAACAAAGCGTGCCAAATGGCGCTCAGTTGCCTGGATCAAAGAGGTTGCAGGGACATCAAGAAGCTTGACAGATTGAGTTCCACTGATGGCAGCAATACCTTTACCCCCTTTCAACTGAAAGGTCTCCCGGCCAGTGCTGGAAGATGAGCCACATGCCTCCCATAAAGTATTGAACAGGTCAAAGTTGTATCGAGGTGTTTCATCTTCTGGAATGTCTGATGGGACAATAGCCTTGAGAAACATGTCTTCTATGCCTACTGTGATTCCTTGAAGTTGACCTTGGATGATTTGACCATTTTCTGCATTTGATTCAATGTGAACATCAACTATACCTGGTGTGGGTTCCCTGGGTTCCAAATCAATTACAACAGTAGCTCTATATTTTTCCTCTTCTCTGGAATCATTTCCGACACCAACAGGAACAATACTCAGGGAGACATTTT